TTTCCAATAGATGTAGGGGGCTGGCTTTTGCTCTTGTCCTTCAGAACATTTGACAATGCAGCATAAGCACTGTTTCTTTTTTCCCCACTGACCCCAGCAGTCCCTGGGGTCAGTGGGAATCTCTGCTTTCTCTTGAGACTGAGCTGCTGCGTGGTGGGGGAGGTGGCAGGTGCAGCCCAGCCATTCATCTGGAGATCACAAACTTAAGTGAAAAATTTCCTTCTCCTCTTGCTCTACATTTTGGCTGTGTGGCTCGATGACATCTAGCAGGGCCCTTCCCGCTCTTTGGTGTGTGTGTCAAGGTTGGCAATACTCAGCTGCCCTTCTTCCAGCTGGGTTTTGAACCACAAAATCTTGGTCGTTCTTCAGTTTCACAGTTTTTGGCAAATCTTTTACCAGATGCTTAGCTGTGCCTGGATTTCCCCACAGAGGAGAAACTGAGAACTTCCTCCCCGTTACAAGATACTCTGTCTTTCTGGGGTATGCCTTGTTACATAACGTATCAAAAATCTGGCCAAGAGTGTCTTCTCATATTCTTCCTCCTTTTAAATTGAGATCTGTTCTCACACTGCTGGCAAAGCATTGGGAACATTGTTGAGACCGAGACAATGCTTTCAAAGTCTGGAGACTGCAAAAAAACTATTTTGAGCCATAACAGATGCTACTGGACATATGGAACAGCTGAGGGGACTTGCATAGGGACTATAAATGTTCTGCAGTTCTTTATATCCCTGGCTTGGTGGGTGGCTTTCCTATAGGAACTGGGAAGGGGAGAAATGGATATGAATGCAAATCACTAATATTCATGGCTCTCCTGTGGAAAATTTGCCACAGGGAAAGGGGAATAGCGTATCTTTGGTGGGACAGGGCTCGTGGTGGACAAAAAAGTAGCCTAAAAACCAGCCTTGATGTAGGAAGAGGGTCATATTGACCTGTGGCTAACTTCAGACTGGAGATTTTGTGGCTCTCGCTATAAATTTGAGAATTTCAGGCCACCGTGTAAACTCTTTATTGGTATGTTTTAGTATCGGTAATACTTTTGTCCTGAAGCAGTTTTGGACTCTGTGATAACAGTCTGGTCAATGGTTCTCAAACAGTAATCCCACAGTCCCTTGTTCCTCACATGTCTTCTTCATCCTCTGCCTTCCTCTTCCTTCCCTACCGCTGCCTGGAAGTCAGGTTGCACTATTTCACACTTCATTCCCCAGAAGACCTTTTGTTCCTCCGCAAACTCTCCCAAATCCTGAAGCAGCCCTTCTTCTGCCGGTGTTGTTGTCCCTTCCTGCTAATGACCACTGCATGAGCAGTGGTAATCGCTATTACCTGCAGAGGCTTTTCTTGTTCCTTCCATCTCTCCTGGTCCCAGCTCACAACCTGCTGCTGCGTGACTATTTTCTCTCCTCCTCCCAGCACTCTTCCAGCAGAGGTGCTAAGCGGTGCATGTACACACACAGACTTTATGCAGTATTTTGAATGCCGGTGCATTGCTCACAGACCACACAAAGCACAAGGAGCTGGAGAGAGATTAGCTTGCCTGAATGCCATGGGACCTTTGTCTTCCGGCTCCAATATGCCTGGCTCAGCTGTCAGGCTGGTGGCTACAAGTGAACTGTCTTCCTCCCACCCCACGTCCAGTGTGGGGAGCGTTCTTTGCCCAGTTCACTGTTGGCTTAATAGCAAATGTCAGATCATTACTTGTCCTCCCCACCACACTTCCTGGAGAGAAGAGAGAGGAGACAGTTTCTTCTCTGGTACCGCAGGCAGCAGTGTGTTTTTTAACTAAATGATCACACAAGTTTAATCCCAGATGTGTGTTCCCAGCTTGCTAGAGTGGTGACGTCTGTGCCAACACACGGTGATCCGTGCTCCCACTGACGCTCCACAATCCAACAATTCCCTGAAAGCAGCTCTGCAACGTTGCTGATGCATCGTACTCCGTGTACCCAACTGACTTGTCAGGCTGCAATGTATGTACGGAGTGCTGCAGCGTGTGTAGCTTTCTGCAGGTTTGCTCTGCAGGCCTGCTGGCTGCTGAGCCAAGAAGCTATCAGTTTACCCTCTGCTCTGTTTTCCTCAACTGTCATTCAGCCCCATCACCTATCTACACAGCTTTTCCTGCCCCCAGTCTGTCTGCGCAATTGTCCCCATGATTTAACTGGGTACTCAGCAGGACAGTACAACATTGTAAGCTCTTGCTTGCTCCTGGCTCTCTGTTTCTGTCCATGTGTTTTATATGGAGTTATCGTAAAAGCAGGAAGAAGAGACATTTGATTATTTAAATCTATTTCTCCTCTGTTCTATTGCTTCATTTTAATGGACCTTAACAAGGGCATGCTAGTTGCATCTCGGGACTATGTCTGGTGATGGTGTGCAAATCAGGCCTGTATTTAGCCCATACCACCGACTCATCATAGCATTTCAGTTGGTAGCTCAGCCGAGACTGAATTATTCCTAAAGAGCATTTTAACACACTATGGGGAATGCCCTGGCCTGGGGGTTTGCTAGCAAAGTTCGTGCTTATGTTGCACAAAAGAAGGCTCTGAGGATGGGAGTGACATCTTTCCTGCCTCATAGTGTACTTCTTCAGATTTACCAACTAACCTTTCATGCCAGGGCCCTGGGGTGAGCAAGACTTGAAGTGCAGGCCACAGGTGGAGAGTGGTGTTGATGGAAGGAGGTATGCTCTGAACACAGACCATCCCTGACCTGTCAGCAGCATTGGCATGGGAGAGACTGGGGACGAAGCCATCAAAAATAAGCCATTGGACCTAAAAAGGAGCAAGAGGTTGAGGAGCTGTGAGAGGAGGAAAGGGAGACAGAGTGAACCCTTGATAGAAGAAGGAAGGGAACAAAGGCAGGGCAAATTTCTTGGAGGGGGAGATAAGGAGCTATAGGCTGCCACCCAACTGCTGCATTCATATCAGAGAGCCACAGTCCTCACCCTTATGTTCTGCTGGAGCTGCAGCTAGCACAGACAGGGTCCTGCGACCCTTGCACGCCAGACTGCAGGGCAGAGCTCTTGGATCTGCCACGGTTTGACTCAGAGCCAGAAGTAGGAGGAGGGCAACAGTCCCACCACTCAGAGCTGTGTTGCACTATATGATGCTTCAGCTCAGGTCAATGTTAGTCTGAACATCTTTGATAACACACCACTGCTCAGTGGAGACTAGTCCAAGGGCTGGGCACTAATTTGGATTAAAGTTTGCTCCATACAGATAGGCAAATGTAATTTTTCATCCTTTTCCTATTATTGGTTACTCTAGTGCTGGCCAGCTCCTGGAAGAAATGAAAGGAGATAGAGTTATTTGAATTTACAGCCTGCAGCAGCTGAATTTTTCCTGCGCTTAAATTAGCTGAAGGTCAGCAATCTTGAAACCTTTTCTGTGTTCCTATCTCTTCCTCTCCTCCCCTTTGCACTCCTCCACAGAAGGAGCAAAGTACACAGTTATACCATCTTTGTCAAGGAAGTCCTGGGTGATTTGGGGGAAGGCTGATGCTGCCTCCACATCCTGTAGTGATAAAAGAGAGTGATTTGTATGTAAAAGAGGGAAGGACAAAAAGGTAAGGAATATAGCAGTAAAACACAATCTTTATCCACCCTCTTCCTGCAATAAACTACCACCTCAAAAGATAAAAATCTAGGTGCAAGAGCAATAAAATGTCTGCAAGGCACCACGGTGTCTCTGCAGTGCTGCACTGCCCTGGCAAGGAAGAGTCAGAAAGTTGCTTAGGTGAAGGAAGGCTTTGGGCCACATTCAGGTAAAACATCAGCCTTTCCCTTCTATTCCTTGTATGCTGGAGATGATGGCAAACATGGCTCTTCTTAGATGGGAGTGGGAAAACCAGAGCTGCTGGAGAGAGAGCTCATTCAGGTTGTGTGCATGCCAGGAGTGCATTTGAACAGAGTCCCATGAAACATGAGTTGCTAAGTTCCAGGCTTGGCCTGGCAGGAGCAAGTGACAGAGGCAGGGCTAGGCTCAGTACGGCAGGACTGGCACATCAACCTCACTGGGTGATAATTGCCTGGGGCAGAGGTAAAAACTCCACACAGAGCTAAGTTAAAAATCTGAGCGCTCTGCTGCCCAGACCCAAGCAGGGATGGCAGAAGCACAGGGGAAGGATGCAGGGGGTCTCTGTCTGGCATGGTTTGTGCTGATAGGGCAGAAAAAGGGGCAGTTTACTGAGTCAGCGACTCTTCAAAGCTGCGAAAAAAAAATTATTCCTGCCCCCTGCCAGCACTTCATGCAGATCCAGGATACAGTTCCCAGAACTGTCCCTACATATGTTGTCAAGAAGGCAACTGTCTGCACATTTTGCAGCAAGAACAGTGTGGCAACTGATGCAGCACTGAGCTGTGAGCCTGGGGTAATGGGTCTCCTGAAGGGAAAGCTGTGGAGTACAGCGCTGATGGGCTCAATCTGCTGACTGCCAGGGAGCAGGTTGTGCTTCCTGACTCCGAGGAAGCTTGGAAGCTTGCAGGCAAGACCCAGGACTGGAAGCAGGCAGACTACCAGCCGCAGGGCTGGGGTCAGGTAGCACAGCGCAGCTCCCTTCATTACAGCATCCTCATTGCGGGGCCTACAAAACTACACTTCCCAGCAGCCTTTTGTGCACATCCCTGCAAACTACAGTTCCCAGAACCTTTTAATGAGCCAGAGAGGATATCTATGGAAATAAACGCTGACAATTTTTGCATAACACTATGCACCCTGCCCTGAAGTGCTGGCTAGCTCTTGGGTAGATGGGAACAAGGGAAAAGCCAGGGAGTGCCAGCGCTGTGGGGCTGTGGTTTTGCCCACTCCTAATAGCCACAGCAATATCCTCCAGCACAGAGCATCCTTCCTCCCCTTGGGACCCCCTTGGTGGTCACAGAGAGGACCCTGGCCCCCGGGAAACACGGCAGGTGCGTGGGGGAGAAGCAGATAAACTACAGATCCCGGCATTCTCCGGCAGGCAGCGCCTGCGGCAGTCCCTGCACGCCGGGGGGTGGGGGAATGAGGATGAGGATGAGGATGGAGGGCGGGGATGAGATGCAGGGCGCCTTGGGGCTACGCTGCACCAGGGACATCACCCCACCCTCTGTCAGCCAGGCCAAGTGGGTGAGGCTCAATGTGGGAGGCACCGTGTTCCTCACCACCAGGCAGACCCTGTGCCGGGAGCAGAAATCTTTCCTGTGTCACTTGTGCCAGGGCGAGGAGCTGCAGTCGGACCGGGTAAGGCAGCTGGGTTGCCTCCCGCACCGTGCCCCACCGGGCACGGGGAGGGCTGGAGGGATGCTGGGATGCAGGGATGGAGCCAGACCCTGAGAGCTGCAGGAGTAACTGAGTGAAAAATGCCTGCTCTTTCTCTCCCCTCTCCTGGGAGGGGCTTGCCCTTGTCAGATCCCACCTTGCTGTGTTGTAGCCTGGCACCGAGCTGGGGAAAAGAGAGAGCATCTCCCCTGTGCCCTGCTCTTCTGCCTCTCTGTCACCCTGCATTCCCTGGGCCTACCTCCCAGCTGTATCTGCCTGACTCTGCCTTTTCACCTATAAGGGGGTCTCTGTTCTCTCACACCAGGTCGGTAAGCACAGTTGCAGAACAAGACTGAGGCCTTTTTTTTTTTTTTTTTTTTTGGCTTTCTCATCTGGGTTAATCCATGCTGAAGTGGGCATGCTGAGCATACCAACACAGGAGTTAAAATCCAAGCTGGGCTGATTTGGCTAGGGGCTCTCAAGGGCCCGTGGTTTCCAAGGAGTCTTAGAAATAGTGGACATTTTTGCAGACGTTTGTTTTTTGTTTTTTGTTTTTTGTTTTAATAGTCTGGAGCATCTGAGGGTTGGTTACAGGTTTCCCATAGGGTTTTTCTAATTATGGTCCATCTCTGTTGCTAGGATGAGACTGGTGCATACCTAATAGACCGGGACCCCACTTACTTTGGACCGATCCTGAACTTCCTCCGTCATGGGAAGCTGGTCCTGGATAAAGATATGGCTGAAGAGGGTGAGTCTTGGAGCTCAGAAACTTAATGTCACTGCTGTAGCCAGGACACAGCAGGACTTGTTGTCGACCTTGTTGTCTCTCATTCTCCTTCTGGAGGTTGATATGGGGGGATTTGAGAGGTCTAACCCTGCAGCTCTTGGAAAGCATACTGATGTTTCTCTTTACTAAAGGGGTTCGGAGTAGGTGAGGAAGGCATCCTACAGGTGTTGTGGCTTCACGACTGTTCATTCAGCAGAGATGTCACCAAGACAGAAGTAGACAGGATCTTTCAGCCTCAATAAACAATTTTTTACTTGTTCCTTATCCACTTTTAACCAGGCTCTCTGACTGAGTTTTCTGTTAATGACTGAGTGTTTCTAATTAGGAATGAAAACCCAGAAGACCAAACAAAACCAAGCTCATCTCTTCTGCTGACTGTAATAAAGACCATAATTAATCAGTGATACACAATGTATGCTTCCTAGTGCTCTGATGGGTTGTAGACTGCAGCACTTCCAGTGGAGGAAGCCAAAGAAACCAATCCCACATTTGAGGTTGACAGGGGGTCCAATAGGATAACTCAGTAACATCGTGGTATTACCAGCCAGCAATCCCCAATGCCTCATTGTTTTTTGGATGCTAGTGTCTAACAAGGAGGCAATTTCAAAGACAGGCTGTGCTGTCCAGCCCTTGCCAAGCACAGTTTCTGCATGTTCATTAGTCTTCTTGCCTCTCTCTTTTACATATTTTTACCTAACACAAGAAAAATTTTCTTCAGAATTATTGTATGAGTTATAATTCAAAAATATATCTAAGCAGTGGTACAGGATTGCAATAAACAGGACTCTGAGGTGTTTCCTACTTGCCATTGCTTGTAATCTTGAGGTCAGACTGAGTTCATCAAACATCATTTGTTTTAACATCAAATATTAAGTGTAAACAGGAGTCCTGTTCACAGATTAACGTTGCCTTTTGTTCCTGCCACAGACACTGAGGCTGGAATAAAACTAATCCATTAGACGTTCACAGTTGAATGAGGGACTCAGAAGGGGTCTGAGTGTGTTAGTTAGAGAAGGATCAATCCTCCCACCTGCATTGTCTGTGTACTGCCCTGAGGACATGTGAGTGTTGGTTCCCAGCTGCCTTCCCCACACCCACCCTTTGGGAACCCAGCTCCCTTTCCCTGAAGGCCTGCTAGCAAACACGTGAGTCTCAGGAGAGGTGATAGGTGCAGACACCATAGAGAAAGAAACCAAAATGCTTCTGTGCTTACCTGCTTTGAGGTGAAGCACAGAGGAGAGAGCCAAAGATCATCTGAAGTCATGTGGGGCTGCAAGGTGGGTGCCACTCCAACTGGCCCAGGATGAAAGTTGTGCTTTTTTAGGGTCTTTTGGTGATGAGGTCAGAATTATTATCAGTCCTTGGTACAAGCCTTCACTGGCAGTGCCTGTTTCTGTAGTAGCAGGCAGCATAAGGAAATTGGGGTGAGCATTAGAAATGCAATGCGGAGAGCCTGGGTTCAGTTCTCTGCAGTAAGAGTTTCTAGAAACAGAAACATGTTAAAGAGTGACTCTGGAGTGTAATTTCTCCCTATGGACCTTGGAAAGTTCAGAAGTGATCTTTTGCAAGCCAAAAAACAAAGAAGGGCTGTTAACTGTGTTTGTGGTCCTTCTGTCTTTCTTAGGGGTCCTAGAAGAAGCCGAGTTCTATAACATTGGTCCTTTAATCCGAATAATCAAGGATCGACTGGAGGAGAAGCACTACACAGTAACTCAGGTATGGAGAGAAATGACAAGGAAAGAGAGAATGAGGTGGGTGAAGGAGGGAATGTGGAAAGGGAGAGGTGAGTCTGGAGGGAGAGTGGACTTGGGAAAAGCAGCAAGGAATGGAAAGGAGTGACTAATTAGAGTTTATGTGCTATTGTCTGCATAGCAAAATCTTGCATGAGACAGGCTACCAACATTTTAGTTAAAATAAACAAGTTACAGGCTTGTTTTGAATCCCCAGAAGTAATGCTGGATGTAGCCCCTGAAAGCAGATCGGCTCCTCTAGCTTTTGGAAGAAGCCAGCTGGTTGCTGTGGGATGTGGAAGGATGCTTGTGAGGAGAGCAGAGGCATGGGGAGGAGGACTCTGGTGTGGGGAGTCCTGGGAGTATAATCACAGTGAAGAGCATGAGGATACCTGTAGAGAAACCTAGAGGGGAAAAGGTGAAGAGATGTCTGTGGAAGAGTTAAATGCAGAAAGTGAGGCATGAGGAATCAATCCTGTGGCACAATCACACCTTGTCTTGGACAATAACCTTTTAAAATCTGTCTTGTGGGAGTGCTGGCTGACATCTCACTTTTCATCATGTCTGCCTCAGGTTGTAAGCTTCTAGCAACACAGTCACTTTGTGCTCGCAAAACCCCATCAGCATCTGTGGCATTTGCATAAATGACTTCGTAATGACAAATGCAAACTCCTCACTGAAAGAACCCAGTATCTTCTGGGGACAATGCAGGAAGCTCTCAGCTCAATCCTCTCCAGAAGAGATACTGTTGTTCTTGCTCCCCATGACAGCATAGTAGAAAATTGGGTTGTGGTTTCCACTCCCCTTTAGCCTGGGACACAGGGAAGGGGACAGGTCTGTCAAGGAGGGGTAGGACCACTTCCTTCTACAGGAGGGCAACAGCCTTTAGCGTTTGACTGCTGCCAAAATGCTCTGTAATTTTGCTGTTAGGTGCCTCCTAAGCATGTCTACCGTGTGCTACAGTGCCAGGAAGAGGAGCTCACTCAGATGGTTTCCACTATGTCGGATGGATGGTGCTTTGATCAGGTATGGAGAGGGTAGAGGAGGTTGGGCAGGAGTTGTCTTTTGGGGAAAAGATCGTGGATACCATACAGTCCCCAGGCAAGGCACCTTGCCTCTGAAAATATTGGGTCAGTCATTGATGGTGCTGTCACACTGGCTCTCCCTTGCTTGTTCCCTAGAGGTTTAGAGGGTGCTGTGTGAGGTTAAGCTCTTTTGGATCCTGGCTGACTGCTCTCCTTGTTTTCTGTGATGCCTCCTCAATTTAGTTATGAAGCCTTTCTCTTGGGGGTAGGGATTGGACTCCATGCTGCTAGGTGGGCTTTCTGCCTTTTTCTCCGGGGGACATGAATGTTTGCAGTAACATGCACTTGTGATTCTTGCTCTTATCTTTCTAGCTTGTGAATATTGGCTCATCCTATAACTATAGGAATGAGGATCAGACAGAGTTCCTGTGTGTGGTCTCCAAAGAGCTGTACAGCTCCTCCAATGGCCTGAGCTCTGAGCCCAGCCACAAAGCCAAGGTGAGACCAACTTTGCTATGGCCCTGCTCCTGTTGCCTACGAGACCCTTTGCTCTTGTTTGCTCCCTCTTCCTTTCCTCTCTCCACCATGACTGTGGGGCACCTCAGCGATGAAATACAGGTGCTTGTCCTGGTGTTCAGCACCATGGCATTACACCCATTGCCCAAAAGGAGGAGTGTGTGTGTTGAGAGAGGTGGTGTCCAGCTGTGTGTGGCAAATGGCTTTAGCAAGTGATTCTAGCACTTCTCATGCTACTCTAACATACCCCTCATGCCTCCTCATGACCATGCTGTGTGTGTCACTATGCCTCTAGGGTGTGATTTCCCCAAAGGTTTTGCAGCGTTGTCTTTCCCTTCTGAGTTTCAGCCTAAGGGGCAGGAGATCGCCTGCTCCCCTTTTGAGGGAAGGACATAAACGTGTGTCAGTGCATGACACCCTGTAGACACCTAGGATACAGGAAGGAGCACTAGGGACTGATGGCAGTTGTTGGGCAGTGGAATCACTTATCAGTGGGTTAAACAGCCCTGACCTGGTGCTTCAAAGGAAGACAAGTCTCTTTGCTCCCTGACCCAGAGCTGTCCTGGCCATGGGGAAAGGTCTCTTTTTATTCTAGTGTCATGACGATTGCTTTATTCTCTTGTGTGTCAGAAAGAACTGCCATGGCTCATCTTGCAAGTATCTCCACTATTTCTTCCCTTTGTCCTGCATGCTGGGCCACAGAGCACAGAGGAGGACCCGGAGGAGGAAGAGCAGGAGGTGGAGGAGGAGGCGGAGGCAGAAGCCGAAGCAGAGGAGAAAAGTGCAGCAAATCCTTGAGGAAAATGATAAGAATACCCCCCCAAGCATAGACCCGTCTACCTTTCTGGTGAGAGCTCACAGCTAGCAGCAGGGAAGGACTAGGGCAGGTATGGGATGTGGGGGAAGTCCTCTCCAGAAGCAGGAGTCTCTCTGGAGATTAAGCTCACAGGGGAGAGCTGTTACCATGGCTGCTGCTTTATATTTTAAACTGTTTGATTTATTTATTGATATTTTTATTTGCAGACCGTCCACTTATTTGGGATTGCACTAAACTTTTTCTTCCTCTGGACCCTTCCTCCTGTTCCCCTCCATGTCCGTCCCACACTGTCACCTGCCTTCCACCTCCACGCTGCCCCACTCCCCAGCCTCCCGCATCCTTCCCTCTTCTCTCTTTGCCCCCCAGGGCTCAGAGTGGTCCCTGCCCAGGGCCCTGTCTCTCTGCTCCTCACTTTTCCTCCTCTGCAGGTACCGTTACCTGTCTGCACTCTGAGCTACCACCAGCCTGAGCTCTGCATGAGTGACTCACTTCCCTCTTTGTGGGTATGGCCCTGGTTTGTAGAGCTTGGGGAGGGAAGAGGAGGGAGGGGAGGTTGACTCATCCCTAAAGTGGCTTTTCTGATTCTCATATGTGCCTTTACCTGCCAAGCAGGCCCTACAGCTCTGGACCACAGGCTCTAGCAGCAGAAAGGAGAGTGCAGCTGGGAGGAATGAGGAGGGTGGAAGTGAATGCAAAGCAGGCAGGGTAGCGTGTCTGCCTGACATGTGATCCACATCGCATCTCCAGACTGCCATCTATAGCTTCTTGCCCTGCCAGCCCGAGAGCAGTTTGCAGAAGGCAGCCTGTGATTTTCCCCTCCCTGCTCTCGCTTCCCTGGGCTTTTCCTCCACCAACTGTGCCAGGGTGAGACCACAGTGGGAGAGCGTGGTGAAGGGAAAGCAGAAGCAGCCAGTCCCCACTCCAGATGTTCTCACAGCTGTGTGTGAAATGAGCCTCTGTGCTTTGCGTGCTGCTCAGGGAGGCTGCCTGGCCAGGGTGTGTGGGGCTGGGTACAGAATGCTTTAAAAAGAGCATTGCTCTCTCATACTGGAAAACTGTAGGGCTCTTGTTAAACCAGCGGTGCTCAGTGCCATTTTCCATCCTGGTGGAGGGCATTTGTTATCTGGTTGACTTTTCTCTCTCCCTCTGTTCAAGAGCCTGCTTGTCCATGGCTGTGGGACTTGACTGTTATTCTCTTAAAATTCAGTGTGTGTTAATCATGTGGACTTTTCCTTCCTTTTTCTCTGTTCTCTCACCCTCACTCCTCATCTCTTTTCTTTTTCTTCTGTTCTGATTTCCTCTATCATTTCTCTTTTCCTGTTTCTCTCCCCTCCATGTTCAAATGCCTTTTTTTTCCCCTGCTTTTGATGTAATTTCTCTCTCCTTCTCTAGCTGTTACAAGCCAGAGGTCTGAGGATGTGATCTCAACACTCCGCTCCAGCCTTTGAACTTCTGGTTTATATCTTTCTTTTTGTACTGCAGTGTACGGCAGCCCCTTGCCCCACAGTGGCACTCCCCAGCCTCCTTTACTCTTCACATGCAGCCGTTCTTTTTTACCAACTCACCTCGGAGGCCTGAGCCTCATCCCCGGATGAGGGCAGATGCTCCGAGGAGACCCTGTGCTGCTGTAGGGGCTGGAGCCTACGGCGCCCTGCCGTGCCTAGCAGGCTGGCTCTCCTTAATGCCACAGTGACCCCTGCTGGGGACATCAGCGATCAGCTACTGCAGCTTGCGGTCCCTGCCTGAACACCCTGGAGGCGACTGGGGTCCCGAGGTGGTGGCAGCTGCTGTGGGACCAGTCCTTGCCCTTTTGCTGTTACAGGCAGCTGTTCTGGGCTTGTGGAATGCAGAGACACTACCCTTTTCTGGGACACCCGCACTGTGCTCGCGGGGTGTCCCCATGCTGGCTATCACACTCCTTCGTGCCTCCCTCCCTGTTCCCTAAAGCAGCCTTGTGTCCGCAGGGTGAGGAAGAGACAGTGTGCTGCCCAAGTACTGGGAATACGCTGGCACACAATGGTGTGTCTGGTAGCACAAGGAGATCCCTGCCTTCGGGAGTGGAGTGTTTTCTTTGCTGCTGTGTCTGAGGACGCTGGGTTGAAATTCCTGAATAAAATTTACAGTCTGTTCCTCCTTGCCAGCTCTCATTTCAAGTGTCAGAAATCTGGTGGTGGTAGAAGGGGGTGGGAGCTGGAGGAGAGGAGTTTGGATTCATCACCTGGAGCCACCAGAAGCTGCTTGTGCTGCGCCCATCTTCTGGGGGGTGGAGGTACTTCCCACTGCATCTGTGCTGTATCCCCACTGCAGGCAGCTGCAGAGCAGGCTTGCTTATTGGTATCTGCACCCCTAAATCATAACAATAAGCAAGGACCACCTATCTAGCTAGCATATTGACCCCACTGCACCTGGGGGACATCTGAGAGGAAGGGCAGGGCTGTGGAAACTTTTGCTAGTTGCCAGCGCTAGGATTGGAGTTTGGTCAGAAAGATACAATCCCTAAGATACTTTTTAACAGAGTAAGGGAAATCAGAGCAAAAAAACTCCTCAAATTAATTTTATTTCTATCTTCAGAGAGTGGCTCACTATGTGTATATATATACACACACACACATATATGTATATCTCTAGTAAAAAAACCCAAACCCATAGCAGTCACTATTTAAGCACTGTGCCCTGAAGCCTTCTCCATCACCTCCTAGATTGTCTGAGTTAGGAGATGGAAGCAGTTGAGATGCCTTCATGTTAAAGGTATTTAGAAGGTCTGAGGGAAGGGGAGGGGAGGCTGCTCCAGACTTTTTACTGAGGGGTGGGGCCTTTCCCTGAGGAAAGTGCAGCAGCGGAGGCTGGGTGCTGCTCCAGCAGGGAGGCAGGACACGTGCTGGGGGGTGTGATGCTGGACTCGTGCCTGGGAGTCAGTGAGACGTGAAGAGTTGCCTGGCTGAGCTGAACTGTACACTGAACAGCACACGCCAGCTAAGAAAAGAAGCAATTAGGGAGATGGAAGAGGAGGAGTGATGGGAGGGGAAGGGGGAAGAAGGATGAGCAGCAGGAAGGAAGAGGGAGGCAGATTGATTTCACAGTTACTGGAATCTCTAACTACATCAGTCACATTTTCTTTCAGCAAATGTTCCAGCATAAGATTGTGGCTGAATCACATGGTGCATACAAAGTTCAACTCCCCTTATTCCTTTTCTCAGAAACCATCAGCTTGGGACCCTTGCTGTGTGTTGTGTCCTCTCCCACCCCTGCTGCCAACTCTTTTGGATGGATGGTCTAAAAACACCTTGGGATGCTCCCTGGGAAACACTGAGGGGGAAGAGGGTCTGCCTGCTTTTCTCTGCCATCCCCACGGCAGGCTTTTTTTACCATGCTCAGAAGAGCAACTTGAGTCGGACAACATCCCACACAGAAACTCTCTCTGAGAGGCAAGTGAGCAAGATCAGGAATGAGTGCCATGTGAGCATGGGGCTGGTGGGGAGAAGGCAGAGATGCACTTTTCTCAGCTCATAGTTTGGTTCATCCAGGCCATCACTTGAGTGATCCTGGTGTATACTCCATAGTGATTTGGACGTGCGCATCCCATTCCCCAGCTGACCAAACCAGCCAGAAACCACCTGCCACTGGGTTCCTTGCAGGCCAGTGGACCTCCAGAATCACCCTAGAGAAACAGAAAGAAAAATGGGTTGATGGTGATCCACCAGCTTCTCCTTCTGGATGATTACGCTAGCTTTGAGTCCCTCTGTATGCATCTCCTCAACTCATGCCTGGGACACCTACAACATCCTTTGTACTTTAGGCAGATGTCAAAAACAGTCTCCAGTGCAAACATCCGACCCATTTTTGCATTCCTTCATCATGCAAATTCCTCCCCCTTAGCCAGCATCCTCCCAAGAGGCTGATGGCTCTATTGTTTCCTTCTGCTCCAGGTGGCATTTCCAAATCTGTCGAGAACAAGAAGCTAGTGGAATTTAACTGGATAGCCAGAGGGATGGCAGACAGAGGAATTCATTGAGATTGATAGTAATGAAGGAACAGGCAGTGTGTGGCAGATGCTAATGAGGCTGAGGGGGGAAGAGACTGATATAGACTTGGAAGTGGGAAGTAAAGAGTGGAGAATGGGCTGAAATGAGAAAATGAGAAGTTTAAGTGTATTTGAATCCTGCCTAAGGCAAAGATGCTGGGAAGAAGTGGTCCTTAGAGCTGTTGTTGACCACTTAGACCAGAGGAAGGGTTGGGGGAGTCAGGCATTTTATGGTTTTTTCAACATCATTTGAGTCTATGCAGTGCATTTAGGAGACTTGGAACACACCCCACCTCTGGCAGTCAACCCTGATCCCAGAACTCCTTTGTCACCTGGCATGCATCTTTCTTGCCCATGTGGTACCCAGCACACAGCATCCTGGGAGAAATCATGTAGTGATAGGCCTCGCTGCAGATGTCCTGCTGGATAAGCTGCACATCTACCTTCTGCAGAACATTGCTGATGTGCCCTGGGGGGGGTAGAGCACCAAAAGCAGTGCAGGTGAGCAGTAGTGATGCTTCCCACTGTTTACCATGATCCCCAAGTCTCTGCCCATGTCACTGCATGCTGCAAGCTGTCTTCTGAATTACTATTCTGCTCCCCACCCGCATTGCAGTCTGAGTTTCAGCAGAGCAGTTCACTTGCCTGGGAGGAGTAACTTTACCCTGCAGTGCTTTTCCCCATAGGGATGCATTGTGGGCACTTCAGCTTTTGGGACAAGAGGGATTCTGGTTTGGGGAAACCTTTGCAATGTTAGAGTTTTGAATTTACTTCTTATTGAATTGGTTGTTAAGTTGCTCTGGCTATGTATGCAAACCAGAAGTGTCTACTTCTGGATAGACCCAAGTGTTTCCATTTAGGAAGCAACTAGAGCAAGTGCGTAAGTGTGAGTGAAGGCACTAAGTTGACCTGGGTGAGCATGTCTATATTCCTGTGCCATGCACTACTAGAGAACAGCCTGGGCCTGTTTGTTGCCCTTAAGGGAAGGGAACACAAGAGGTCATGCCCATACAGCTAAATTCTTCTTCACAGAACAGAATGGACACATCCATACTACCCCCATGGGAACAGGTCTTGGCCCATGTTGTCCCTCAGCACTGTGTGAGTGCTATGTGGCCAAAATGGTACCACGGCACATGCTAACAATTACACAGTGTGATCCTTGAGGGACAGCACGCAGACACTGCACTGCTCCCATTGAATTTACTAGTACAAGTGTTGCTGGGGCAACCCAGGCCCTACAGTCTTTGACATGGGGAAAATGTTGCTGCAGGGGCCACAGGCAGGTGTCCCCAGGAGACAGTCCTGATTTGATGAAGAGCAGTTTGTCATCTCTACCCTCTCTGGTCAGGCTCTGTCCCTGGGGAATGACCCAACAGGAGCCCACACGTCTGTGTAGGCAGGGGGTTGACCTTTGGGACTGGGGCTGCTCCGTGCTGTGACCATGACTGAATAGCCCCTGCTCTGACCTCTGATTCCTGAAGGGCTGTTCTAATCTTTGGATGAAAGAACACATGCTGTCCCCACATAGCTTAACAGACTCTCAGGCCTGCCTCTCCAAATGAGATTTCGAGGCACTCAACAAATAACTTTGGCCAACCTGTGACCCAAAATCAAAGGGGGTGAAGGAGGCATAATTCTTTGGGGTGAACAGAAGTCTATTCTTTCTATCCCACATCTGAACCTATGTTTCTACCTTGGCTCTGCTACAGTAGACCGCCAGCAAAAAGGGCTTGCACCTACCGCCTTCCTTGAGGGCTCCCCAGCCCGTGATCCAGCAATGAAGGCCAGGTGCAAAGAGGTGGGAAGGGGCAGGCAAGCAGATGGGCTGGATTAAGGGTGAGATGATCACAGGATGGTCCAGCTGGAGCAGGGCCACATCATAATCATGGCTGTCCTCTTCATAATAAGGGTGGAGGAAGAGGCGGTTCACCTTGAAGGACACCTCTGTGTGGCTGGTAGCATTTTGCAAATATTTGCCCAAGTAAATGGTCCAGATGGAGGCAGAGGCCAGTCTGTAGGATGCAGCAGAGAAGATAGATAACTCATTGCATGAACAGAGAAGGATGAGCAAAGCCGGGCTGCTTCTGTTGCAGTATTTTGAGGAGTCTCTGATATGGATGATCATCTCCCACAGAGGGGCTTCTTTTTTTTTATTTGTCTACTGATTTCAAGAAACTAGTTGGTATATCTCTCTGATGCCTTGACAAGCCTGTACAGTGGGACCAGCTTTGGGCAGACACTCATATACACAGGCAACTTGCTCATATTTGTTTATTTTCCTTAGCAAAGCAGGCTAAAAGGTGTATGTAGGTTGGACAAGCAAGTGGAGCTGGTCATGTGCAAGTGACTATGATGGGGCAGAGAGTAAAAGCTGAACTGGTGAAGCAAAACTGCAAGGAGAAGGAGACGTGGAGAAGGGGAGCAAAGTCTGAAAAACTGCTAAGAGGAAGTGAAGCGAGAAAAGCAGCTCATAGGTGAGGGCAGATGTGGGTGCCAGATGAAGGGTGCAGCTGTGACATTTTCATAAGCCATACAATCCTCTTATCATGTATGACATGGAAAGCAATGCAAATCCATCTCCTGTCCAGCACCCTCCCCTCTCCCTTTACCTCTCATCCTGGAAGCAGTGTGCGGCTGAGACCACCCAGCGGTCAGCAATGAGTGTTCCCCCGCAAATGTGGCGTCCCCGAACTTGCAGGCTGGCCTGCCACGGCCATTCCCCTTCCACAGAATTAGCACCACCCACGATCCTGCTGAGAGGGGCTTGCAGCCCACAGTCTGAGGAGAAGGAGACACAGCAGGTGCTTCAGGGGAGGAAGGAGACATGACACCTTGTTTCTACCCTTCCTTTCCTACTTAAGTGACTGAAGAGTCAAACCTCTAATCCCTTGCTTTACCCAGCCAGCAGATGCTTTCTGTACTGCCCAGGACAGGTCCAGCAGGCACTCCTTCCAAGCACATGCCCCCGCTGATGCCTGCACAGCCTTACCTCACCTCCAGCTGAAGCCTGGGGATGCCTTTGGGGCAGTGCCCTGTCTGTGCTACCTGCTGTCCTGTCAGGGAACACTTGCAGCCGTTCCTTTTTGCTGCCCACCGAGGCTCCAGAAATACCAAGCAGGGCAATCAAAACCAGAGCCCTGTCAGCGGCCATGCAGTCATGGGTGATTTCCCTGGCTGGAGCCTTGTAGGGTGGCATCACTTCACACAAGCCAGCACAGTGGTCCAACAGTCAGCCTGTGGGTAGGACCTGGCCTGTGAGACACGTCTATCTGGCCTCATGCCTCTGCTTGAGGATGGGGAGCAGCTGTCCAAACTGCAGACATCGCCTCCTGGCAGCCCAGCACTGAGAACTGGCTTGTTGCTCTGGCCACCAGCACGGCAGGATGGAGCAGTGGCACTGCTGCTGCAGGGCTGGGGTAGGGAGATGGCAGTAGAACAAGGGAGGGTGGGTGCTTATGCTGGGTTGGCAGTGGGAAGAGGGGTGACTTGCAGCTACGTGGCATCCTGAACCTGCCGGGCTGACGCATGACTGAGCATTTCCTCACCGCAGCGCTTCTCGTCGGACAGGTCCTTGCAGTCTGCAGTGGTGTCACACAGGGGGTTGGGTTTCTTCACACAGGTCCCATCCTCACAGCGGTAGGTGAAAGGACCACAGGGGACCCCTGTGAAAAGAGGAAGGGGAGCTGGGGCTGAGGGAGGGTGGCAGGTTGCAAACACAGCTTGAAGTCCTTTGAGCTGGGGGAAAAAAGGCAACACAAGAGCTCGGGGTAACTCCATAAATGGTGACAGGGAATTTCCTGAGTAAGTTTGGTCAGCTACAAACAGAACAAACATTGTGGGCAGGTCTGGCACGTTAACTCCCACCTGGTGCTTGTATCTCACAAGAGGGAAGTACACTACTGACAGCCTTGTTTCAAGCATGGAGGAAGGTATTTGCCAGCCCAGTGCCGTCCCCTCCCTACCTTCACTGCAGTGCTCCTCATCGCTCCCATTGACACAGTCCTGCTGCTGATTGCAGACGCTGCTGAACTCGATGCAAGTGCTGTCCTCACGGCACTGGAACTTTGCAGGGCACACTGCAAAGGCATCAGGTGGGATGTCAGGGCCCCAAGTGCACCAGCAGGCTCTGCAGACTCTCCCCCCACCTCATAAGGTGTGCTTAAGACCAGCTCTGGTATAGCGCAGCTGTGTAGTCTTGAAACATGTGAGTCCTGCACCCTTGATGTCCGTGAGCTCTGGTAGCTGCTCAGGATGGAGATAGGCATAAGGTGCCTGCCCATCACAGAGTCTGAATTCTGATTATACATTTTCAGAGCAGGAACTGGTCCCGTGTTTGTGTGTATCTACGTGCAACACCAAGCATGATGAGTCAGTATCTTCTGGCCATCTTTTTACTGCAATGAGTGTAATTTTTCCAGTAAATAGCATGAGGCTTCCAGATGACCAAAGGCACATGAAGGTCGGAGGCAATGTGAACATTGATTTTAAAGCCAGTTCCATACAGACATAGAGTGAATAAGCAGAGATTCAACAGTGACAACAGGATAAGAAAGAAAGGAAATAATGATGTTTCTATTTTCTTTTTCAAGTATAAAGGGATGTCTGAAAACACTGAGAAACAAATACTTGTTTTGTTCAGCCTTGGTCTGTGTTAACCTCTGGAACTGAATGACGCAAGATAGCCCTGGATTCAAGAAAGGATTAGGTATTCATAAGGATCCGTATGTATCCTTGGCTGCACGAGGGAAGCAAACAAGCCCTGGTATCAGACAGCTGGATGATGGGACGGAGTGCACCATCAGCAAGACTGCAGACAGCGCAAAACTGAACCTCAGCGATCCTGTGAGAGCTCTCACATTTCTAGCACTGAATTAAAACTTCTTTAAAAAAGATTTCTCCTTCTTCCTACTTTGGACTTTTCTATACCTCCCTCTGAATCTTTCAGAATTGGCCACTGTGTCCAGTGGTTCGGGGATCTTTCTGTCTGTGAAAAAGCAGCTGTAGGGGACAACTAATGAGAAATTAATGGTGGCAGCAATGTGATGAGCCGCACCCCCCCGCCCCCCCACTCACACCATGGATGGGAGAGTAGATTAATTAAGTGTTATACCTAAGCCTGAATAACCTTTCCTACCAAAATGGGTCTTTTCATGAGTCCTGGGATGTTTGGGATGGTGTCTGTATCAGCACTAACTGCTGTTGGCAGAACTGCTGGCTGATCGAGGACTGAGATGCTCCCCAACTGGGGCACAATGTACAGGTGAGGATCTGTACAGAGCAGGTGTCATGAATGGCCAGAGGGAAGAGGGGAGAGAGCAGGGCAGTGGGTGGCCTTGGGGAGGTGTGGGGAAGGTGGAAGTGTTGGTAGGGGGATGCTGAGTGGTATGACAGCAGAGGGGGCTGTAGGCCAGGGCTGAGGTTGATTGTCGGGCCTTGGTGGGGGAACAGCCTGGGCAGGGGACTTCCTTCAGGCTGCCTGGAATTCTTCGTGCATAGGTACTAGGGGGTTCTCCCAAGAAGATTGTGCTGTGCACAGGAGCAAGAAGTGTTCTGCTCCTTCCCGAGCAGGCTGAAGCCATACGGCAGTGGGATGAGGTTTTAAGGATGCAGAGGCTCAAGCTTCTGGAGGGGAGGTTTGAGGCTCTACCTAGGCCAACTGAATCCTCCCCATCTCTCTCTGCCTTTGGAAGAGCAAGGGGCTGTGTCTTGCTGAGATCAGAGACCAGTGGGGAGAATAAATCACTCACCACAATTTCTTTCATCCAGCCCATTGGGGCAGTCTTTGATCCCGTCACAAGCTGGAACGCACAAGCCATTCACGGAACACAGGAACTCTCCAGGACAGGCTGTGAAACCACCAGAGAGTAGTTAGTCCCCTGTGACTGGAAACCTCCCTGCAGCAGAGCACTGTGGCTTGAAAGTGGAGCAGCACACCTTCCTGACCACGTGTGCTGCAGCCGTGTGCTGGCAGCACTCGCTGCACTCCCCAAAATCTGTCACATCATTCACTCTGGACAAGGGCAAATGGAGCCAGTCTATGCACCAGGGAA